AATTAAATAATATATAAAAGAAATTTTTTCCTAATTATGAAATAAAATTTTGAGTCGTAAACATTAATTAAAAAAACTCTATAATCTTAATGACTAGAATACAGAAAATTATAATACTATAAACTAATGTTCCAACCAGGATGGAAAAGAAGAGTTTGGTGTTTTCACTTTTATATTAAATTGTTTCAAAGTAGCTTCTAAAGCAGTTTGATTTCCAGAGAAGTATGCAGAAACAGCATTGTGAAATAAAAGCAACTGTTTATGCATTACTTTGATCTAAAAAAGACAGGAAAGTAAATTTAAATAAATACTAATTACTCCTTCTAGATATTAATACCCTGTTTTCATCCAAAAATTTCATCTTAATGGCTACTTCACTCCTTAATTTCATAAAGTTTTGGCGATGAACTTCAAAATTCTTCTGAGCATCATCCAAATCTGCACTTCCATCTATTTTAGTTGTTAAAGCTTCTAGATCTGTGCGATACGCATCATATTCTATTCTTGCTGCTTCATATTGTCTTATACTTTGTAATGTGTCCTCCATTGTTTTATTACATAATGTATTCATCGAGGACGTAAAAAAGTTAAGGGCTCCTAGTAATGTTTCTCCATTTTTAGTTAAATTACGTTGAGTTTCTGAATTGTATAAGAACTCTTCCTGTAATTCTGGAGATTTCTGGGCTAAATCAGAAAATGCTTCACCCAAAGCATGCTGAAAACAAGAAAAGTTACTGCAATAACAATTAGCACAAAAATAACTAAGTACAAACTTGAGTTTGAACAACATGATAAAAATGAGTTGTCAGTGCTCTAGATAGACGTAATATATTAGAGTATTTGCGTTGGGTATCTCTCAGTTGTTCTATTTGGGCTTCTAATTCTAAAATGTAGAGTCTTCTTTATAAAAACAAACAGTTTCAATATTTACATGAGTACCTGCATCAACAGTTCTTGAACTTTTTCCTAGTTTCTCAAACATTAGTTGTTTTGTACATTTGTAAGTTGATATTGACCAGTTTTTAAGATTTTCAATCTTTGAAGACGTTTTTAAAATTGCAGCATCATTATTTTGGCTAGGTGTAGTGGGTGTTAAAATGGCAGGTGAGCTAGTACATGTGTTTAAATTACTTGGTACTGATCTTGAATATGGACAAACAGATTTTGTTTCAACAGAAGAAACAACGTTGTTCTTATTGTCATTAGACGAAGTTTCTTTCAACATATCATGAATACTGGTACGCTCTGAACTGGAACTTTTCATTTGGGACATCTACAATAAAAAGCATAATGACTAGAAGAAAATCTAAGGCGCCACTTTTCTTTCTGTTCTACTTAATTATAAATTACTGCTGTTACAAAAGAACGAGTATAACAATTCATTCAAATTAAACAAATTATGAGAATACCTTTCACACAAGGTATGTACTATGGCTGATACGGTTGCTTGACAACCTCACAAAACTGACGCAACACATCACTAGCAAACTGTCATCTGTATGTTGTCAAATAATTATTAGCAAGTGAGGTTATGATAACAGTTTATTTTTCAAAAAAAAAAAACAACAAATAATTGAAATATTATTAATGATAAAATTATGTTGATTTTTTTATGATTATAAAGTGGCTTTGGGTAGAACAAATATATAAGACNATAAAATTTTGAGTCGTAAACATTAATTAAAAAAACTCTATAATCTTAATGACTAGAATACAGAAAATTATAATACTATAAACTAATGTTCCAACCAGGATGGAAAAGAAGAGTTTGGTGTTTTCACTTTTATATTAAATTGTTTCAAAGTAGCTTCTAAAGCAGTTTGATTTCCAGAGAAGTATGCAGAAACAGCATTGTGAAATAAAAGCAACTGTTTATGCATTACTTTGATCTAAAAAAGACAGGAAAGTAAATTTAAATAAATACTAATTACTCCTTCTAGATATTAATACCCTGTTTTCATCCAAAAATTTCATCTTAATGGCTACTTCACTCCTTAATTTCATAAAGTTTTGGCGATGAACTTCAAAATTCTTCTGAGCATCATCCAAATCTGCACTTCCATCTATTTTAGTTGTTAAAGCTTCTAGATCTGTGCGATACGCATCATATTCTATTCTTGCTGCTTCATATTGTCTTATACTTTGTAATGTGTCCTCCATTGTTTTATTACATAATGTATTCATCGAGGACGTAAAAAAGTTAAGGGCTCCTAGTAATGTTTCTCCATTTTTAGTTAAATTACGTTGAGTTTCTGAATTGTATAAGAACTCTTCCTGTAATTCTGGAGATTTCTGGGCTAAATCAGAAAATGCTTCACCCAAAGCATGCTGAAAACAAGAAAAGTTACTGCAATAACAATTAGCACAAAAATAACTAAGTACAAACTTGAGTTTGAACAACATGATAAAAATGAGTTGTCAGTGCTCTAGATAGACGTAATATATTAGAGTATTTGCGTTGGGTATCTCTCAGTTGTTCTATTTGGGCTTCTAATTCTAAAATGTAGAGTCTTCTTTATAAAAACAAACAGTTTCAATATTTACATGAGTACCTGCATCAACAGTTCTTGAACTTTTTCCTAGTTTCTCAAACATTAGTTGTTTTGTACATTTGTAAGTTGATATTGACCAGTTTTTAAGATTTTCAATCTTTGAAGACGTTTTTAAAATTGCAGCATCATTATTTTGGCTAGGTGTAGTGGGTGTTAAAATGGCAGGTGAGCTAGTACATGTGTTTAAATTACTTGGTACTGATCTTGAATATGGACAAACAGATTTTGTTTCAACAGAAGAAACAACGTTGTTCTTATTGTCATTAGACGAAGTTTCTTTCAACATATCATGAATACTGGTACGCTCTGAACTGGAACTTTTCATTTGGGACATCTACAATAAAAAGCATAATGACTAGAAGAAAATCTAAGGCGCCACTTTTCTTTCTGTTCTACTTAATTATAAATTACTGCTGTTACAAAAGAACGAGTATAACAATTCATTCAAATTAAACAAATTATGAGAATACCTTTCACACAAGGTATGTACTATGGCTGATACGGTTGCTTGACAACCTCACAAAACTGACGCAACACATCACTAGCAAACTGTCATCTGTATGTTGTCAAATAATTATTAGCAAGTGAGGTTATGATAACAGTTTATTTTTCAAAAAAAAAAAACAACAAATAATTGAAATATTATTAATGATAAAATTATGTTGATTTTTTTATGATTATAAAGTGGCTTTGGGTAGAACAAATATATAAGACTTTTAACCAAAACATTAGCTTTTAAATAAGGCTAAAAAATGGGAAATTATTTTACTGTTAATATGGAAGAAAATTTTAAACGAAATCATGAATTTATCACTGAAATGAATTCCATAAAGGTAAGTAAAACAGTACAAAGTATTACCTTTTAAATCATAAGTCTATTTTCAGTTAGAGAGGCAGTTGCAAATGAGGCAACAATTGAAAGAGAGAGAAGTTGCTTTAGAAATAGCAGCATCAAGAGAATTATTTTTTTGGTATGGTGCTTTTTATGTGACTAGTCTATTTCTCCTAAGTGCTGCTTATAAAAGAAACAAGAAAATTGGCCTTCTTTCTCCAATCGTACCATTATCATTTATAATGGCATATCAAACAGATCTTGCCTATGGTACCAAAAGAAATAGAATTAAAGGTATTGTATTGTATCTTTTTTTTACTGTGGTATCATTTTAATTATACATCTTAATTGAAGCCGAAGCAGAGCATATAATGCAATTCGAAAAAGATTTACTAGAACCGCCCTTAGGAGTTCCCTCAGTTGCCTCTATTGATATTGCTAGAGAACAAAATGAAGAGAAAAGACTTTTACATCCTGTTATCCCCACTCTTTAAGATATTACAAATGTTTTATTATCATTGATATACACTTTGCATTTATCATTATTTTTTTACTGTTATATATTATATTATTAATACTGCTAGATTTTAAGCCATTAACTTTACAATATAACTGGTACTATGAAGAACACCAAATACAAGGTGTTCTATTTAAATAACGTTAAAAGTAGTAAACACTTTCCACAAATATTTATTTGCAACAATTTTAAACTTTATGAAATTATGAAACCTATATTCCTTATGTAAACATAATTTTGAAATATCACTCAATTATGTATGTGATGAGCAAAACTATATTACTTAAAGTTATTTACCATTTTACTTTTGAATAAAAATAACTAAAAGGTGATAGATTATTTATTTGAAGTGTACTTTGCTACTGATAAAATGATTTTTTTATCTTAAACAAAATAAAAATCAACAACAATCATTTAAAATATAGCATATTTATTGCATGAAATACAATTTGAGCAAACAATACCATATTAATAACAGATACGTATTGAATTAAGTACAATAAAAACAATAGTTTCCACCAAAGATCAACAACAAAATTATTGAAAAAAATATATAAACAACCGTAACCTCCTAGTAGAAAAAGGAATGTTTAACAACAAGTAAGAAATACATTTAAAAAAAATAATAAAATACTGCCTGAAGTACTCTTAGTTAACCATCCCTGAATACTGTCAAAATTATACATTTAATGCTTACAAAAACTACAGCAACCCAATTTTTCATTTTGTTCTACTTTAGGAGCACCACGAGTAAAAACGGTAAGTAACTGGCATCGTACTCTATAAAAAAAAAACATTTTAAATTTATTAATATTAACTGTTGAAAATCTAAAATGCTTTAATCATTAATTTGGGCTAATAATAACAAAATGAATGTTAGTTACAATATCTTAATTGATTATGTCAAGTGCTATCTTCCTAATAAATAGATAACAGCAAACAAACCAATTTTAGCTATGTTAATAAAGGTATTTTTGATTTCAACATTTTATCAAATAAAACCTACTTTGCCCTAACGTCAGTTTGATGTTGGATTTCACCATCGCAATTCCAACGACTCTGCATATCTTCAGCCCGAAAACAAAGTTCTTTTGCTTGGTGAATTTCCACAAAATCTAAATCGTCAACATTACTATCACTTCTTGTTAATCTAATTAACAATCTAAGATTATTAATAAGTGATGTGTGACGAACCAAAACCACATGCATATTTCCATCACCTAAATGACTATAAGGGGCAATTCCATTCGGACTTCGTTCACATGCGCAACTTATATTAGCGGCTGTTACCATGAAAAACTTTCCTTTTAGCGTTTTCCAAACGCCTTCATTTTTATTATCATTATCCTCCGCTTTTTTTAAAGAACAACGCACGCATTTTTCATAGCATTTTGTACCAATAGGATCATTTTCAGATAAAACTGCAATTTCCCCTTTATAACCAGTATTTGATATAATTCGTTTAAAACCTACAATAATAAAAGTAATTTTTACACATAATATCAGAGTTACAACTACGAACCAGTGTATTCATATCTAGAGGGGCCCATCCAGCGCAGTTGCTCACTATAGTATGCAATATCACCTAAATAGCCATAACTAAATGCACTAGCAAATAGTCTTAGCAGTCTAGTTTCATCATATACAGAAACCAAATCTAATCCCGTTTTATCACCAAAAATAATATGCAACACTGCTGTAGTTACATCTGTTGTTCCATGAAGGCAATATGCAATTGAGTCAGTACTTCCACCTAGCAGATGAATAATTCTTTTTAAAATAGAAATACTTATATACAAGTAAAGGGGATTGTATTGGCAAGCCCATAAGAGTGTGAAGGGGGATAGTCCCCCTTCAGGACCCGGTGTAAGGGTTAGGGACCAGTGCGTCACAACGGCAGATACTTCACAAACCAGCAAGAGAATAAAGTAATTTTGACCATTTCCATATCTGATCTTTATAGAATACATATCCAAGTATTGGAATAATTTAGATTTTTGTGGACTTGGATATGGATGAAGTAACACTGCGTAAAAAAGTCCTTACAATTTGTAAACTCTGATGTTTGAGTCAGTAGGGGGCTTACAAAAGAAGTGACACACTTAGAAAGCATTCTTAAAGCGAATGTTCTTTGTCACCTTTAGAATTGATTAATAATCCAAAGAATGTTTTTTTTTGTCATAATGAATTTTTAATTTTAATAAGCAATTTTGCACCTGGGTTCTGATTTAGCTCTCACAGGGCCTGGGAATAAGGAATTTACAAAATTAATATAAATAAAAAATGATAATCACCTGGTATTACACCTATTGGCAAGTTTGGCTTTGGCAAGTCTATTGACATATCATCAGGATCGATTCCCTGTTTTTGACATTCTTTCAAAACTAACCCATTAAATAATTCTGAAATAGTGCCATCTCCCCCTACACAGCCTACTGCATCATAGTTATCCAAATTGTGATTAATTATTATATCACGAATTTGGTTCTGTCTTTGTGAAATTATTACGCTAACATCAACACCAGCAATTTGAAATAGTGGCTTTCCAAATTTTTCAAATATTTTTAAAGCTTTTCTCTTACCTCCATAGGGATTCACAAACAGTAATAAATGCTTAGGCCTTCCAGTGAACTCTAAAAAATGTACAAATAAATAAAAAAGGTATTAGAAAAACTGAAATACTTACTTTGCAGATGATTTTGTAATGTTTTTACCCAGGATGATACTTGTAAAACATCGGAATGTTTAAAGGTAATACTGTTATATTTCCACGTTCGTTTCTCACCCCTTTCTGCAAAATGAATTGTAAATGCATTAGGATCACATCTGGGTTCTTCAGAAGGATGTGTGGATGTTTCATAATTATGCTGTACAGCTATCACATTTTCTATAGGAACGGTTTTTTGCGCTGTAAAATTATTATTTAATGAAGTACTGTTAAAGAATTCTTTTCTCCTACCGCAAGGAGGTTTTTCACTATCCCAAACAATAAGATTTCGATGGTAGTATACCCTGTACCTTCTTCTACCAAGATAAAAATTGCTTAGCAATACAGAATTTTGATTATCGTCGGACATATTCTTCTATTTCAGCCTTGAAATAAATATGAATTTCTTTAACGTCATTTTCACGTAGTTCTCGAAGAAGAAACCTTAAAATAAACATAATTAATTATCCGAAAGTGGTAGAACAAGTTTTTATATTATTCACTTTACAGGTTATTATTATGAGACACTACACGTGTATGGGCATTTTAATATTCCTTTGACCTTCCTTTTCGTCTAATTACTTATAGTGATGATTTACTAATTGCTAATTGAAGGTCTTTTAAAGAGTCAGAAAACTGCAGAAGACTGACTCTTCGAATATGTCTCACATATGAGGTTATGTTCAAAATTGTAACTTTGACTTTGGTTGTCATTATCAATAATTTAAATTTTTTATCAATTATCAATCAAATGCTTGTCATGATAAGAACTGATTAAATTGAATATAATATTAAATACTTAACGTGCCAAACAGAAACATTGAAGTTAAATACTTACAAAAAACACCAACCATTAATTAATTATACAATAAACAACACTTACATTGGGGTTGTGTCTTCGTCCGCCACCTCCACCGGAGCCCCCAAATCTACCACCGCGCCTACCACCCTGTAAACCTCCTCCTTGACCTCCAGGTCCTCCGTGGCCACCTGCATTATGCTGTTGATTAACATTGCCATTTTCTGTTGAACTTTCCACTTTTTCTGCCGTCGTGTCTGGATTTTGGTTAGCCATTATTGTTTAACGGTGAAGTATTATAATTAAAAATTCTTGTATATTACTTATTTATACAGTTTCACTTATTTGTAAAAATTCACAAAACTAACAACAGCAAGTCCCAACGTCTATTTTTATATAGAACTGGAATAAATAGAATAAAGAAATAACCGAAACAACTGCTGTGCTGTAGATGTGCTGCCCTACACAAACGGAAACTGACTAGAGAAAAAAATGGCAGCACTCGTCACTTTATTTCCCTGAATCAAACCTTAATTCCCCTAAACAACATTTCCGCTGAATTGAGCATGAAATTTAAATTATACGTGGAAATCTATATCCAAAGTTTAAAATTTACTCAAATGCTTGTTTTTCAATAGATTTTGTGATTTAAGATCATGGAAGGTTTTAAAAATCATAGTACAATGATAAACTAATAAAATAGGAATGTTTATTGTTTATTTAAGATTTTAAACAATATTTATCCATGCCTTATGTAAAATAATTATAAACCCAATATCATCTGTAAATGGTTTTGAATTAAGAAATAAAAACAGAAGTTATTTAAGGAAGTTAAAATTGTTATTTGTTACTCCAATTTACCTAAAGAACTTGACCTCTATCTTCAAATGATGACTCCAACAGCAATATAAACACATAACTTAAAAATATCAGCAAATAGGCACTTCTACAATTGATTTCTGATATTATGCCAAATTTAAATCTTCTTTATAACAGATTCGTTTTGTTATAAATTTTTAAACATTAATAAACATCAATTGATTACATTTTGTGAAAATTTTGATTTGTTTGAAGCGTTAAAACCGAAAAATTAACTCATACTTTTTTTGTAAAATAACTTAATAGTAATGGATCATACTCATATTTATTTGTTTCCCATTGTTATTTACTTAATAGGGGGGCAAAAGCATATAGATACAGAAGCATNAAAAAATATAGTAGAGCTTTAGTTTTAAAGATACTATTGTATTTTGAAGAGATACCAAATAAAATCAGCATTTCTTGTTGTAACCACAAGAAGATAAAAACTATGTCCTTTTAAAACGTTACTAATTGGAAAATTATTTTATTTAAAAATTTATGTAATACGTAATACAACAAACTGGGATTCCTTTTTGAAATTAATTTTACGAACGCAACTTAAAAAGTCTTTATCCTATATTTATTTGTTGTTCAATTGTTCTGAATTGTCACCACTGAGCATGCCACTGAGCACATAGATACTGACTACATTATTGTCAATTATAGTTTTGTTATGATTCATTATTTTTTAGCGTTTTAGGTGGGTAGTTAGTATTAATTAAGGCAAGCTATTTGAATCCATTAAACAAAAATATAGCAGTGCAACAATAGCGAAATTGAGGAATTAACGTTGAAAGTGATTTAAATATATCAAATATCAAAATGTGTGCTAAAATGGCATTTCAGCATCAAGCCGGAACGGCTATGGAATGCTTAAGTGTAAGTTAAAATTAAAATTTATCAAATATTACTTAACGTTTAAAGCTTTTATATTGAAATAGATTCCAATAACTCTTCATAAAGAAGTAAGTGGTGATACAATGAGATGTGGATTTAAAATAGGTGGTGGAATTGATCAAGATTGTCGAAAAAGTCCTCAGGGATATACAGATAATGTATGTAGTAAATATTTTGCTAGTAGTAAAAAAAATTGATTTAGTTTTTAATATAGGGCATTTATGTAACGGAAGTTCACGATAATAGTCCTGCTTCAAGGAGTGGTTTGAGAGTGCATGACAAAATTCTACAGTGCAATGGATATGACTTTACAATGGTAACACATAAAAAGGCAGTGAGCTATATTAAAAAGAATCCTGTGTTAAATCTCCTAGTTGCTAGGAAAGGTGTAACATCTACTTAATATAATTATTATCAATTACATTGATGTGTCAACATTAATATAAGCCACATGACCATATTCAGTATTAGGTATTAGGACATTACATTATATTAGAAATATTAAATTTGTAGATTTTTATAATGTTGCAAAATTGTAGTTCTTCTTTGACACATCATATTTCTGTGATTTTTAATAAGGATATTATAAGTAAATATCATTCCATATTCAGTTGCCAAAGGTGTACATTATTTTTTATTCAGTATATATACATATATAACAGGCAAGTTACCAATTTTGTATTAATATTAAGCAAGTATAAAAAACTAAAACAGCAGAATGTATCATAAGTTTTGTTTTAGTTTGGTTAATAGCATGAAATAACAAGTCATTATAAGAGCATTTATTGCAAAATAAGTTTTCGTTTTCTATGCTGAAAGTAATAAATAAATCTACAAAAAACAAATATTATCATTAAGCAAATAGAAGCTGAATTATGTTGACTTACTTTTACTCTTTTTAGTAAGGAAATACTTCAGATTAATAGCTTTTATTGACAATTACTGTAATGCTTGCTATAGCAGAAGTTTATATAAAATATGTTTAATAAAATATTATCTATACGTACTGTTTTATTTATTAACAGATAAATGCACTTTTTAGTTTGAATAGATACTAGAAAAATTCTTACGTATATAATAAAGAACGTTAACGTAAGTTCTTGGACAATTTTCGGTAAGTTACTGAGCAAAATATTGTTTTTCATTCATATGGCTTACGTGCCTATCAGGTATAAAAGCTACTTCGTGTAAATTAATTAGTTGATCAAGTATAAATACTACAGTTCACAGTAAATATCAGTAGATGGCGATTAAATGTCCATATCTTAATCTTCTGTACTGCATACGCAAGGCCTCTGGGTAAAAATTAACTAATTTAGAGTTGCATCTTTTTCAAATTAGTAAATTTGCCGCCTTGTTTTAAATTAGGTTAAACATTTTATTTGTTAAAGTTGGTTCACCTTTAATCTTCTTCTTGATTCTACTCTTCCCGCGAGTTTAGTAGTTGTTATTGAAAGGGGTTGCTTTGTAGTGTGTTGAAGTGATAAAAACATAGTTTCCACTAATTTAACATTAATTTACTGGGTAAGTTTTATTAGTTTATGTATAACTCTTCCCCTTACCATATAAATATAATTGTATCTGCTTTTTGTGCTAAAATATAAGAAGCAGAATATCCTTAGGATCCAACTTGTACGGTGATAGCATGGTACATAATTAATTTATATGAATTGTATAATCCGATTATTCATTAATTCCTCCCTATTTACAAGTAATATAAGATTTCGACATAATAAAATTTTTACGTCTTTGGGGGTTATCATCGATTTTTTAACGGCAAGCTAGACTTTTCATTTTCCAAAGTTGCCTAGCATTCCAATCTTAACGGATAAGTCGTTCTGAAGGAAAAAACATTTTTTACGATATTGACAGTGTATGTTAAGTTTTTGCGCTTTCCGACTAGCAATTAGTACGTTTGAATATTCAAATACTAATGTAGCTGTAAACAACATCCATCGTAAACTCGTAATATCTTCAATTTACATAATGCTACAATAGCAAAGCGCCCCCCTATCACTCATTTATTACAAATACGTATGTTTAATATTTTATTTATAAAAAATAATACATAATAAAAAAATCATACCTAACATCACATCTAGAAAGTGAATAATCTATAGTAATACTTTAAAAAACGACTATCAGCAAGTTTAAATAACTTAAAAAGGATCACATAAAGAGTAACAGTTCTTACAATTAGTGAATTAAAAACGGATCTTATTTACTGAATATTATGAAATCTCAAAATGGCTCGTCCAGGTATCTCTGAATCACATAACTTTTGAATTACCTTTGATGTATCATCAATACAAAATTCTGTGTGGGGTGGAGGTATGATCTGTTAAGTTTAAAATATAATTAGCAATTTTTTATTACTATAAAGTGATTTTAATCACTCAAATTACCTCTCCTTCTGCAACCAAATGCACCAACTCTTGAAGATGTTCAATGGTACCCTTCTGTATGGCTTGAATTTTTTGCTGCCTTTCAGCGGCTAATCTTGAGAATTTTGGTAGTAAACGTTCGGCTACTTCCTCATTTACCAATACAATACCTTTCTATAAAAATTATATATAAATAGAAATAATAATAAATATTCTAATATTTCGAAAAATTTAAAATGACCACTTACTGTATTTAAGCATTGCAATGATCTGTGTAAAGATCTTGAAGTTGTACCAAAATCTATGACGATATCGACTGGTCCACGACAAGCATCTTTTGTTCTTTCTATTAACTGCTTTTCATACACTTCTTCATTCCATTGAACCAAGTTTACACTAAAAAAAGTAACAAATAAGATCTGAAATTAAAAGTTAAGCAGTAGCCATATACTAACTCATGAAGTTCTTTAGCCAGCTTGAAGCCTTCGTCTTTAAGACTTGCTACTGTGATTTGAACTCTGTCTTTATATTCTAAAGACTTGAAGTGATGTTGTGCAATTCTAATAGCCCACAAAGCCAAGCCACCAGTTCCTACAATCAGTATTTTGCAATCTTGATCTGATGGCCTTTCTTTTAAAAATTCAAGAACATATTCGTGGGCTGCAATGACAGCGTTTTTAGCCAGAAGAGCGCCAGTGGGTAACATGGCTGCAACGCTCAAAGGCAAATTGTCAGGAATAGGCACCAGATAACTCAATTGTGGGACCACGATGTATTCAGCATACCCATCTGGTACACCTTCATATGGAAATAGTACGACTCTTTGTCCCAAAACAATGTTACCGTTATCAGTTACTTCGCTACCGAGTTCATCTACGATTCCTGATACTTCATATCCCGGAAAAAGAGCTCCATCCCGAATTCCGTGGTGAGCAGGGCTAAACGGAGTCTCCTCTAAAGACTGATTTGAAGCATTGGAAGACATTGATGAAACAGAAGCTGATCTGTTACGATTTCGGTAACAAACTCCAGCACACACTACTCTTAATCTGGCACCAAAAGGGGGTACGTCTGGTACAGGGACTTCAAAATTGAATACGCAGTCTTTTACTGTAGGCCCCGGAGATTCGATGGAAACTTGGCGACATAACTTATTCATTGTGGATGACTGAAGAGAACTATAGGGAAAGATTACTAATGTTGTTATTTAAAAGCGTTTTTTTGTTTAAAAAAATTGTAGAGCAAAATTAAGTGTTAATACAGGAGCCAAACATTGACGAATCATTATTTAAAATACAATAAACAGGTTCCATCATCTACATAGTCGTTAAACGTTGCGCAATATACTAGGTACATATCTAAGTACCCACTTAATATTTTTTTATTATCAATTTAGCAACACAATTGCTGTTTGTATCCTTTGAAAAACAAGTCAGTTTTATTAATTTAAAGCTTCAAAAGGGGGACATTAAAAAAGCAACGGTTAAAAAATTTTTAAATGAAAATATTCATTTAAATAACACAAAAACTAACAAAGGTATTCTAAAAAATAAAATTAAGCACACTACAAAAGAAAGGTAAGAAAGTAAATAGCATTACTCTTGATAAAGATATAGTAGGTGGAAACATGTTTAGAGTTTTAATAAACATACTTTGAAACATTTAAAAACTTCTGTTGTGTGTTTAATTTTATTTTAAAGATGTTCATAATTTCCCCACCGCGAACCCTATTGAAAATAACAATGGCATTCCATATTTAAATAAATGCTTTTTAGAAAAAAAATCTCACCATGGATATCTAGGCGTAGTATTTGCGGAATTATTTAAATTCTCATGAGAGAGAAGCTCCGTTAACATTTTACCACAATATCTTAAATGCAATGAGCACAAAATTTTTATTTAAGTTTGCGATATAGGTAGAAAGAAACACTTCTCTAGTACTCGTAATTATATGAGCGAGTTGTTATTTATACACTTGTACTTCAGCTTCGTAGATTGCACGAACTATTAAGCTGTAAGCAGCTGTTCCCTGTCCTTTTGTATATTTCTGCTAGTTGTTTACATTTGTCTTACACGTGGTAAACGCGTGAACCTACTCAAAGTTAACACAAAAAACATTCAGGTAAAGAAGTACCGGATGAAACACGTAAACACATGCATACACACTTACACGTACTAAAAGTATAATTTTATTTATAAAGTTTGTACCATTCCATGTATTGCTTAGACTTTTAGAGCATTACTTTTGAAAATGCTACTTTTTTATTTTGTATAATACGTAAGGCAAGTAATTCAGCGAAATTATACATTTTTTTGCCGCTTTTTTTTTAGTTATCATCGATTTTTNGTCAAAACTTCCTTTTTCCTCTGCAAAATTTACAAAATATTTGTTTACATCTCATTTTTATTTATATTTCTGCGTTCAAAACAAAATTATTCACATTTTTCTTTGTTCTAACTAATAAATGTTAATTCAAATACCTATATTGAGACTTACATAAATCTATTTTAAGAGGTCAAATAGAACAATATCATAAACTTTTATAACGTGTATGTTCATTGAAGATACGTGTATTGCCTTTTATAATCAAAATTTATTTGCTTTCAATTGATAGACGTTGAATATTTTACAAAATGAATCACCTACTATCAACCTTCAAATAATTTCGTATTTATTATTAAATATTTCAAAAAAATTGTTTCCATTCTCTCATTAAAATGGTAAAAATTATCTGTTGCAGTACAGTCTAAGCTAAGCCTATGTATCTATCCAAACATTACTTTGCATAGATAGGTAGCTACGTGCATTAATTTATTTTTGTATTTTTTTATATTTATATTAAGCGTGTTCAAAAATAAAACAAAGAAAGATAAGTGTTAATCTACAAGTAATTAAAATATTTCAATATTTGGAATATTTGTAGTTTTATCGCAAATAAACAAAAGACGAAGCAACGGAATAAAAGTAACTTCCGCAATTTGGTCAGAAATAAACCGTATGTTGTATGTAATACGTACATATTACAAAATAAAGTAAATACCTATACGTAGGTACCTATTAGCCATAACAGTTTCTCAGTTTTTTTAAATATTAGAAGATAGAATTTACTTTACATTATATTACGGTAGCACTAACATTAAACATGTTGTGTTCGAAAGGATTTAAAAACAAAAATTGTGTTAAATGGTACAAAGCATCCTACATTTTTCTAATTACTGTAACACGCATTAATCGCGTGCAAACTATTGTGCACAAGACGAAGGCCACCTACCTACACAGAACATAGGATTCATCCAACTTTTTGCGTTATTTTAAACGTAGTTTATTAGACGAATAAACACCTGTCATGTTTACGTTTTTGATAAATTGTTTATACCTAGGTACTAACACAAAAAATGCGCATAAAACACTATTTTTTTATTCCTTTTCGAAAATAACACCTATCTATGTCACCTAGTTTTGATTTAAATCACCGTTTTATATGTATACACAGATTATTTTTGTTGATTACTGATAACAACTGAAGTACCTATAAAAAAATATGTATAGAGGATAACATTTAAAGTTCAGTATTTCAGTTTTTACATAGCTGTTATACTTTAAAATTACAATTTAAAAAAATACTTTACTACAGTTTTGCCCTAAAGTTGTGGAATTATATTCTCGCATTAATATACTGTTACTTCTCATCGACATCTCGAAATTGTCAAAATTATGCAATCATATAAACAAAATGTGTTCACAGCGAAAGATCTTGCAATTAGTGTCTTCTTGCTCTTATTGGCCAATCAAACATGTGATTTAGTACGTTTTGTATGTTTTTTGTTTTATTAGGAAGATAAAATTAATGTAGGAGAACTGCAAGGGCAAAACATGCATCTGTTATATGTTCTATGATCAATATTCCAGCTTGCTTTTTATACATATATGTATACATGTAAATTGCGTACATATTATAAACAATATGTAACCATCGTACTGACAATAAGTCAAAACTATTTTTTAGTTGTTGATGTCTTATAAAAAATACCTTTAAATAGAACCAAACGTTTTATAGGCATTTATTAGGTCATGCATTGATATTAAAGGTGGCAAGGGTGTTGTTATAAAAGATTACATTTCGCATTTGTAATTTTTTTACAAAAAAAGAAAATAGCCAGCCAGTAAATAATGAAAAGCATATCGTATACGTACATAGCGTTTCAGAACTATCCGTAAAATGACACGCCTGAACCCTGATGTTGGATCACAACATCCATGCACCAAAGGACTATTGAAAGTCAAATGCGCGTAAAATAGTGTTGTGTTTAAAAACATCTCCAACGCTTGCGCTAGAAAACGTTTTATTATCGACTAAAATTCGTGAATACCCTTAAAAAAGTATTTCGAATACGTTATCAGAAAATATGTCTAGGATAGGTACTTTGTATTACCTAACTTTAAGCAAATTGTAGAGAATCACAGGATGTCATAAAATACAGAAAGGTATTTACGATCCTTTTGTAGAATTCGATCCCTTGATCAATTTTTTCTACGTTTTAAATATTCACTTTGCTATCTATCTAAGGAAAAGAACCATTTTCTGATCAAAATATTTATTAATAATTGTTTACCTATACTTTGTACGTTTTTCCTAAACAATAAATACAGATTAGGGCTAAACTTAAAATTTTACAATATGAAAACAATATTATTTATTAATCTTGTGCAATATAAAACACTAACGTCTTAACATTTTCCATTTGTTTTACAATTAATATTTTTGTATTAAATGCACCTATTATATTTATCTCGATTCGATGGTTATTATCTATCTTACGTTTCATAAAATTAATTTTTCTTTTGATTGTGAAAGGTAAAATATGATAAATAACTGACGAATTCCAGTGGCGTAGCTACGGGGGTTCAAGGTTCAAACCTTCCCTGCATCGATTTGGATTTTTTTTTATTATGTTGCAGCCTGACAAACATTTGACTTCTTTGCAATAATAAAAAAATAAATCGTAAATACAAGCATTATTTTATACTAGCTTTTGCCCTGCAATTTCTACTTTTCTTTGAGAAGAGAAACATGATACGATTTTTTTTTATATGGAATCGAAATTGATTTTGGTTTAAATGTAAAAGAAGGTTTGTTACTACCAATTTCTTCTTCTTTTGAATTGTTGTTTTGATGATCATCATCATTGCCGTGGTTTCTGTTTTCCTCGTTCTTTTCAAAATCTAAATCATAAATATCTAAATTAAGATTTTCGTTATCATAATCTGCTTCTTTTCCTTGTAGATTGTTGTCAGGATTGTTATTGATTGTGTCGTAAGTGCCACTATTAGTAGATTCGTTTCTTAGTTTATTCCATTCCAACACATCTTTTTGTTTTTCTCTAAAATTTATCAAATCGTAATTATTGGATAGATCGATGAATTTTCTATGCGATCGTTGTTCAAAATTTTGTCGTTTGTAGGTCTTTTTCGACGAATTTAACGGCGATTTGAAGGAAACCCCCTCGGGAACCCTTGGCGGAAGAGGAATTGGAATTTCCTTGCCTTTCTTTTCTTCTATGTCGTCAGTCTTTGCTCCCTCATTGCTAAACACATTAAATAATAATTTTATTAATTGTTCCATTATTTTTAACCTTTTAACCGGTTAATCATAAATCTAATTGTCGAAAATTTCACGAAGGTGATCACTTTTTGGTGAAACATTTTTTGATAAGTTTATTAGTCATGAAAACAGTCGGTTAGCACGTTTTACTAATTTTTTAAAGATTACTCTGACATGTTTCGGCAATAATGCCATTATCAAAGAGATATTTACAAACAAACTAATAATGATATACGGTATATCAGTTAAATAGACAAACAACCGACCTGGATACCTTAGTTAGTTTGTAAATAACTCTTCGATAAAGGCATTGTAGCCGAAACATGTCAGAGTAATCTTAAAATAAATTAATGTATTAACCAAGCGTTTTTATTGCTAAACATATTATTACATTCTTATCGGATACAGTAGTTGTGTAGTTTGTCATAATAAATGTACATAAAATACTACTGACGGTAATAAATCACAAAGCACTTTTCCCTGATGTGAAATAAACATGGATTAACCATTGATTCATATGATGTTTTTCATAATTTTAAAATTATTTTGTTAAATAACAATATAAATCAGATTGTGTATTACCTCGTTTGAAAATGCATGCTACGTTTTCAAAATAATACGAACTATTTTTAACTCATTGTTCATTATATCGTAAATAAGATATCATCAGAAGGACAAAGTTCATTATAAAATTAATAGATAGATAACAACATATGCGTGTATAGATGCCTAATAGAAAAATGCACATAGGTTTATTGATTAACGATAAGATCTAATTTTGAAGCATACTTCTAATGATAGCATTAATTATTTATTAGTTTTTACGAATATACACAAAAAACTAATTTATAAATTCGAAAAAGGTTGTTAAAGGTGTATGTTTGGAGCACGGCGTTGTACAGGTGCAAAACATGGACAGTGGGAGCGGCGGAAAAGAAAAGGTTAGAAGCGTTCGAAATGTGGTGTTATAGGCGGATGATGAGGATATCGTGGGTAGAAAAGGTTAGAAATGAAGAGGTATTGGAAAGAATAGGAGAACAGAGGACTCTATGGAAGTCAATAAAAAATAGGCGAGATAGGTTGGTAGGACACCTTCTCAGGCATGAAGGTCTAGTCAGAGACATATTAGAGGCAGAAACAGGAGTTAGGAGGGGTAGAGGTAGACCTAGATTAGATTACTCTTCGCAAATAGTTAAGGATGTGGGCTGTTCTGGTTTTAGGGAAATGCGAGGTTTAGCTCAGGATAGGAGGGAGTGGAGGTACGTGTCCAACCAGTCTTAGGACTGATGACCTTATGATGATGATGACACAAAAAACAATAAATTATATTAAGCGAATCTTTTTTTCAGGTGATCTACTTCATTCGCAAGCAGTTTTCTAGAATAGTGGTAAGTGACATTAAATTTTCTTCGAACTATGTTATTACCATATTGCATCGATCATGTTTTTGTATATAATAACTAGTATTTCATTTAAAAAATAAATTTAATTTAGAGTTCGTTATTGTCCGCCCGTCATACTTTTTTGTTCAGTAAATAAAAATGTATTGTCTTGTCAAAATTTAACGTTAAATATTTACTTTTATGTAATAATTTATATTTGTACTCACTAAAGAAAGGTAGCTTTGTTTATTACAGTGATAAATGAAGCAATAATTGTAGATAACTCAGACTAACATATGTATAAGTAGCTACATTGTACATATAACTTGTTTAAGGAACATTGAAAGATTTTATTTACTAGCGATTCTAAATTTGATTTTTTTAACTAATAATCCAATATAATTTTCAACATTACCTTTCTATCTCGGTATAATCTACATCGATATCAACAATTTCATAAGTATTTGCTTCGAGTTTATTTTTAATTTTGGGCAAAGGTGGAAGATTTCTTTTAAGAAGCACTGTCGCGGGTTTAAACGTATTTTCGGTAGTTTTTGAAGTTTTGCTGCTTATTGCTTTACACCATTCATTTGCTTCTTCATCAGATTGGGCAATAAACTAAAAAAACAAAACGCTTAAAATTACTTCTAAAGTTTCTCTGGGGATGTATTACCTGATACGATTTTTTATTCAGGCGGACAAATTCAAAAATTGCAGACTTTTTTTTACTATTTTTGCCGTTATTTTGAATTCTGACTTCGTATTTGGTCAAGTCAATTGTTCGAATTGGCTTAACGTCTTTTTCACTCAAGTAAATAAGAAAAAACGATTCTTGGACTGCAGCAAATATCTTTTTGTGGTGTTCAAGAAATAGGAATTTTTCTTTTTTTATTAATGGTCCATTTTTTTCGCAAGTATTTACTTGTTGGGCTGGTAAATCTATAAAATTAATCAATCACTACAATTAAAAGAGAGATAAGATAATAGAAATATAATATTTCTTACTTGCATATGGGCAATTGCCTTCATCGTTCATTACTGACGAGGTAGATAGATTATCAGATTTTGATAGATTCAACGAAGGGTTTTGGTAAAGAGCTTCTTGGTTTTGAACATCCTCTTCAAATTTTATATCAGACTCTACATATTCATCCAAAACTAAAAATTTACTGTTATAAAGAAATAGGTAAATACAGTTATTGTTAACACGAATTAATTTAAGTAAATGTCTTCACCTGTAGTTTATATATTGAATGTAGTTATCGAAAAATGTGTTACAAACATGGTCGTATTCATAAAGAATTTGTTATTGTTGTTAGCGTTTTCATTGTAAATGAATGCAACATGGATATATAATGATAAATAATTATAGCACAATTGAAACAATAAGCGTTTGCATAAGGGGCACAAAAGAGATAAGGTGCTACCTTAACATTGTCCACTTTATATCAAATAATAGCTTATTCTAATCATTCTTTTATAATGTAAGAAAATATAATTTTACCGTTACTCGTTTTCACTTGCATATCCACATATGGCATATGATTATAAATGTCTGTTCCTTGAACATTTTGCACGTTTAGTTCTTCGAGATATAATTTACATCTCTCTATTAAAATTTTAGTTGCCAATCTCGATTCTAAGGTCATTTTTCCATTTTTTATTTCATTTTCCAGAAAGAACACAACGTCTGAATTATTTACAAAAATTAGTACCTGTAGTGCGCTATTTAATAACATTCAAACATTTTTATAAAAAGGAAAGCAAACAATTACTTGAAACATACAGAATTAATGTAATAAACTTCTAATGCAAAAAAAATGAGTATAAAATTTGTCATTTATAACATTTAAAGAAACTTTCCAAACTTGTTTTACAAAAAAAAAGATGTACCGTTTATTATTCTTTAAAGTATAAAACTATTGCATGCTTATATATATATACATATACATACCATTTAACAATAGTTCAATTTTGTTTTCCACACAAATATTTTTACTCTTATCGTTAGTCATTCTACATGATAAATAATAACTAATTAATAATTAATTAGTCGAATTATTATGTCGGATCAACGATATAATTATTTATGTTTATTTTTTTGTTTTTTATTTGTTAACATATGCAGGAGTTGTCACGTATTCAAGCAAACTTTTAATGAATGAATAACCAGATCAATCCTGAAAGACTTAAACCATTAATAATACGTACGGTATATTTTTGTATTCCTATCTCCTACTGAGAACTTAAGCGTCATCGTTAATAAGTCCAATTATAAGTATCTGCAACGTTATAAATGCCTCTAACTTTTAAGTTTATACCAAGATCATAAGAATAATATTTTGCATTCTTTTGTACTAAATTAAACATATTTTTTTTTCATATTTTTAGCAGCTTTATTACAATTTCTGAGAATAATTACCTTAATTTTTCTATTTAAGGAATAATGTAGGTCAATGACATCTTAAATGTATAGTCTATTATCTTTTTAATTAACGAGATGCTTAATTTACTCTTATGATTACAATACCGATCTAATTTTTTTATGTACTAATCGTAAAATGTCTATACTAGAAGACAAACAGTCAAGATAAAAGTGAGTTTTTTAATGCGTGTTCATTTTTGTAATCGTTTCTTACAATGGAATACCTCATATTATAAGTTACGCATATTTATTTAAAATTTACCTTTATAAAATTTAAAATATGAAATAATTACATACCTTTCTTCTTTATTGATTAGTTAATTTAGCATATTTTTCAATATGCTGGGGGTTATTGTTAATGGTAAATAAAAGAAAACGAAAGTTCTACAGTGTTTTAAATATTTATTTTTTTTTCTTCAAGAATAGAATTTATAAATTAAATGATTCCTTATACTAAAAAAATTATATGATGGGGGCAAGGTATCAACAAAAAGATGAAAAGGAAACGCAATCGACATGGGGTTGAAATAAGATACAATTATCAATTGATTTAAGTGTTTGTTACAAGAAGTGCGAACTCCTTGGGCATAATTAATATTTATTCTATTGCATGTACACATAGAGATGAGCGAACGAATCACACTAGGCTAAGGCAGATTAAAACCCCGTAATTTTGTATCGATTTAACTACTGTAGAAATTAAAAAAAAAAACAGAATCAACTACACCGTGATGTGTTTTAAGTAGTGGCAATATCGTTATTTGTATGATACAATTAATTATATACGCAAGATAATAATTAATAATGTTTCACTGGTGTCTGTAATCTGCCTCACGGAGGAATGTAGACACTTCATGTAAAGGTAGTAGAAGTACTGTAGTATGTGAACGAAAACATTTAAACTGCCTTCGCCTCGTCTTTGGCCGGTGGACTTGATAGGAGGGGTGATACTGCGCGCATGCCCAGGAACTTAAACACGCACACTAGCCTATACCTGCCCTACCGACTACCGACCATTCGTCCCCAGCAATGTTCTCAGGTCTCAAAGGAATATCTGTAAACAGAAAACACGCATGACTAGCGACAGCCAAGATTAGCTAATATGGGCGTGCGGGCCAGGGCAGAAGGACAGACCACCGCCCGGGTTAGTAGGTTAGGAAGGAAGAAAGGCGTGTCCACCAGCCAAGAGGCCAGCGAGGAAGTTATTGCATGAAATACTCAGGATGGTCCGAGTCTTTCTCAAACCTCTTGGCCTCCTCTTGCATGCTTTCTTTTATTTTCAAAATAGCAGCTGATTCCGTTTGGTCCTGCAAGGAAAGCGACCTTTAGTGGTTAAGTGTCAGTCTACTCAAGCTCAAGCACCTACAGCCTCTTTCATTTTAAGGCTGGTTAATATCGATATTCTCATAATTTGCTTAAAACTAAATACGTCCTTTTTTTATTTTCTTTTCGTAATATTTTGTTTCTTTTAACACGGCTGTAATTAAGAAAACATCGATAACGTAAATATGTTAAAGGAATACTTAAATTCCCTAAAATCTCTTACTTCTACTTGATATTTCAGTGCTTTCCAAAATACGTACAAAATCCAGAATCTAAAAATGTTGCAGTGTATACTCATATATAACATATTAAAATAAATCTCCTTGTACGTTTTCCGAAAACACTTTAAATACTGAAGATACTGCTCGAGTGCACTCAGTAAGCTTTTAATACAAACGGTACTAAATAGTTTGTGCTGTATCGTCGAGCTAAATGAGGCTTTACATTTTTTTGTCATCCGAAACACAGAACATTTAACTAACAAGAGTCAACTCTGGAAACACTAAACATAAATTACCTTAATATGTTTTCATTGAAGACGTGTTTCGTTTAATTTTGCAGCTTGCATCTTCCCAAGAAATTCTCGCTCTTCAACGTCTACAAAAGAAAATGCAAGCTGCCAAAATGTCACATTATTTAATTAACATTTACTAGAAATAAACTCAGCCAGACAATTAAAACAATCAATCTACTATTAACGTTACCTGGATATTATATAATCAAATACAAAAAAACACCAGCATCTGACTAAAACAAAAACAAATAAGCCTTACCAATTTTTTAATAAAAAACACTTTTTTTTTAATAATAATTCATAGTTAAAATGAAATTATTGTGTGACTGACTAATAGATCGTTTTGGTGTTTCTCTGAAACTTATCGATAAGATAGTATGTATATGAATGTGGATACGTTTTAATAACAACAACTACAGTCAGCAACTAACTCAAAGACGACTGCAAAATCATGTAGGTATTACAAAAAGAAACTAAAAGAGTGAGAAAATAATCATTCCTGTTTCAAAGTTAAGGCCGCTTTATTTTAAAAAGGAAAGCTACTAAATGTCCCACAAGCATAGAAGATAAGAAATTAAAAAATAAAAGGCACTAAACCGAAAGTATAGTCTTTCCTAGTATTATCAATATTTTCTTAATCCATTCGACTAAATTATAGAATATCGATACCAAAACTACCAGGACTTTACATTTCTATTTTTAAGCCTACTCACATTTTCGCCAGGTCCTCCGAAACCCGCTAAATTATAGTCTCCCATTCCGCTTGCACTATCGTCTCTTGGTGTTCCGGGACCGCCATTGGCGGGAGAACTTTTCATGCCGTCTATTCCGTCTCCATTTAATACAGGCCCCATTGAATTTGGTCCCATTGGACCCATGGGGCCACCCTCGGGACCACCACCCATAGAAAATTCTCCTGGCATAATGCCGCCAACCGCCGGCTTCATTGTCGTGTACATATTTTCACCGCCAGAATTTGACGAATCTTGGGGACTGGGCATTATTGGTGTTCCTGGGCCAGGAGGACCTGCTGACCCAGGTGGACCTCCATAGTTCCCCGGCGATGATGATGAGTAATTCATAGGCTAAATCAATAAACACTTTTATTTGTTTTTGTTGTCTTAAGAGCAGTTAAAAATAAATTAAGACACACGTGAAAATTAGACATCTGGGGAAGAAAACTCCCATCAATGAAAAATTTTAACGTGTTGTAGAAAATAGAAAATTATAAATGGTTACACTTACACTAAACGATCTTACCGTTGATGTGTTTGGTTGCCACTGTGGTCTTCCCCCTGGGCCGGTCATTGACATTGGAGGCATAGGACCTCGAGGACCTAAACTACTGTTTGGGGGAGGTCCCCGTAATCCGGGACCGTACGATCCAGGACCAATGGGACCCATCGATGGACCACGCGGCGGATTCATTCTGGGGTTCATGGGATTCATACCTGGTGGACCTGTAGGATATTTACCTCTAAATTAGCGGTCAGAAGCAGGTACATTAGCACAGGTTACAGAAGGCATGCTAGGCTTCACTAACAAATATACAGATGCACATAGGCTGATCAACTATAACAATTAAATATGTGAAAGGGGTTTAAAAAATCGCGGCATTTTGACATTATTTCAAACGATTGTAGAGAACTTTCTTATTTGGATATTTATGCTAATATTGCTTAGAATGATACAAAAAAAATTATACATCATTAAAAGAAATCAAAAGAGGAATTATTCATGTTAACTGCAAAAAAAAACTGATTGTCCAGAAAGAACCAAACAAATGCACACAAAAGTTAGTTACTGTTGAAAAATTATTTGTTTTTATAGAT